GGTTGCGCCGTCGCCTGTGGGTCCGTTGCTCCTGCTGCTCGTCTTAGCCGCGGAGCCTGTTACTCCTGTACTCCGGGGCACTCACTCCCGGTAGCCACTGTGTCGCACCAGAGCCGTCTGTTGCCCGTGTGCCTGCAGCTTCAGTCGTCGCCTCCCATCTACTCTCCTCTCGCCAGCCCTCCTCCTCCTCACTTGCCCGTTGTGACTACCACTAGCTTTGCTCATAATTGTGAACTTTAAACTATTGCTTCTTAAACTTGTGCTCAGAATGTGTGGTGACATTGTGATCCACCCTGAGCTTGTACTGCTTTGCTTGCTCTGCTGATTACACCCCACTTTGGCTATGGGGGTGTGTCAGAATATTATGCTCTAGCCTGTAGTGGGGTGCTCTGTAGCGAGTACAACCCTTCTAGGGTTTGCTATTTGTATCCCCATTCTTGCTAGTGCAACCCTCCTCTTTCGCCTAAACTCTCTTGCCTAGCTAGGACTCTCCTAGCTATGGCTCCTAAGACTACCGCTTATCTTGACACCTTCCCCCCCCTATAAGGGCGTTTGTGAGCCCAGTTAGCATCGAAATCCGCACAGGTATAAAATGTGAAACGATAGTACTCGGATCATGGACCGCCATGCACGATCATGTTTGCCACAATCCTACATACCTTGGGACCAGTTTCCAGCTCCTATTGCCTTCGAACGAGCCCGCCGCATCAAGAACCGTCCCCCTATAAGGGCGTTTGTGAGCCCAGAGAGCAGCGAAATCCGCACAGGTATAAAATGTGAAGCAATATTACTCGGATCCTGGACCGCCATGCACGATCATGTTTGCCACAATCCTACATACCTTGGGACCAGTTTCCAGCTCCTATTGCCTTCAAAAGAGCCCGCCGCATCAAGAACCGTCCCCCTATAAGGGCGTTTGTGAGCCCAGAGAGCAGCGAAATCCGCACAGGCATAAAATGTGAAGCAATATTACTCGGATCATGGACCGCCATGCACGATCATGTTTGCCACAATCCTACATACCTTGGGACCAGTTTCCAGCTCCTATTGCCTTCAAAAGAGCCCGCCGCATCAAGAACCGTCCCCCTACAAGGACGTTTGTGAGCCCAAAGAGTAGCGAAATCCGCACAGGCATAAAATGTGAAGCAATATTACTCGGATCCTGGACCGCCATGCACGATCATGTTTGCCACAATCCTACATACCTTGGGACCAGTTTCCAGCTCCTATTGCCTTCAAACGAGCCCGCCGCATCAAGAACCGTCCCCCTATAAGGGCGTTTGTGAGCCCAGAGAGCAGCGAAATCCGCACAGGCATAAAATGTGAAGCAATATTACTCGGATCCTGGACCGCCATGCACGATCATGTTTGCCACAATCCTACATACCTTGGGACCAGTTTCCAGCTCCTATTGCCTTCAAACGAGCCCGCCGCATCAAGAACCGTCCCCCTACAAGGGCGTTTGTGAGCCCAGTTAACAGCGAAATCCGCACAGGTATAAAATGTGAAGCAATATTACTCGGATCCTGGACCGCCATGCACGATCATGTTTGCCACAATCCTAGATACCTTGGGACCAGTTTCCAGCTCCTATTGCCTTCAAACGAGCCCGCCGCATCAAGAACCGTCCCCCTATAAGGGCGTTTGTGAGCCCAGTTAGCATCGAAATCCGCACAGGTATAAAATGTGAAACGATATTACTCGGATCATGGACTGCCATGCACAATTATGTTTGCCACAATCCTAGATACCTTGGGACCAGTTTCCAGCTCCTATTGCCTTCAAACGAGCCCGCCGCATCAAGAACCGTCCCCCTATAAGGGCGTTTGTGAGCCCAGTTAGCATCGAAATCCGCACAGGTATAAAATGTGAAGCAATATTACTCGGATCCTGGACCGCCATGCACGATCATGTTTGCCACAATCCTAGATACCTTGGGACCAGTTTCCAGCTCCTATTGCCTTCAAACGAGCCCGCCGCATCAAGAACCGTCCCCCTAAAGGGCGTTTGTGAGCCCAGATAGCAGCGAAATCCGCATAGGTGCAAAATGTGAAACGATAGTACTCGGATCATGGACCGCCATGCACGATCATGTTTGCCACAATCCTACATACCTTGGGACCAGTTTCCAGCTCCTATTGCCTTCAAACGAGCCCGCCGCATCAAGAACCGTCCCCCTATAAGGGCGTTTGTGAGCCCAGATAGCAGCGAAATCCGCACAGGTATAAGATGTAAATCAATATTACTCGGATCCTGGACCGCCATGCACGATCATGTTTGCCACAATCCTAGATACCTTGGGACCAGTTTCCAGCTCCTATTGCCTTCAAACGAGCCCGCCGCATCAAGAACCGTCCCCCTATAAGGGCGTTTGTGAGCCCAGTTAGTAGCGAAATCCGCACAGGTATAAAATGTGAAGCAATATTACTCGGATCCTGGACCGCCATGCACGATCATGTTTGCCACAATCCTACATACCTTGGGACCAGTTTCCAGCTCCTATTGCCTTCGAACGAGCCCGCCGCATCAAGAACCGTCCCCCTATAAGGGCGTTTGTGAGCCCAGAGAGCAGCGAAATCCGCACAGGTATAAAATGTGAAGCAATATTACTCGGATCCTGGACCGCCATGCACGATCATGTTTGCCACAATCCTACATACCTTGGGACCAGTTTCCAGCTCCTATTGCCTTCGAACGAGCCCGCCGCATCAAGAACCGTCCCCCTATAAGGGCGTTTGTGAGCCCAGTTAGCAGCGAAATCCGCACAGGCATAAAATGTGAAGCAATATTACTCGGATCCTGGACCGCAATGCACGATCATATTTTCCACAATCCTAGATACATTGGGACCAGTTTCAAGCTCCTATTGCATTCAAACGAGCCCGCCACATGAAGAACCGTCCCCCTATAAGGGCGTTTGTGAGCCCAGAGAGCAGCGAAATCCGCACAGGCATAAAATGTGAAGCAATATTACTCGGATCCTGGACCGCCATGCACGATCATGTTTGCCACAATCCTACATACCTTGTGTCAACAGGAGTTGTATGTTGGCCCCGTCCTCGCTTGGGCGGAGCCGACTTCGTGGTCGGGTGTAGGGTGCAGCCGACCTGCAGCAGTGGGCGAGTTGGTCGACGAGGTTGGTCGACCTGCACGGGGAGCCACTGCATGGGCGCCGACTTCGGGAGGGCGCCAACTTCGGGTGGTCGACCTAGGAAGTCGACCAGACCTTCTGGTCGACCTGGGACGTCGACCAGACCTTCTGGTCGACCTGGTAAGTCGACCAGACCCTCTGGTCGACCAGGAGTGACGTCGACTTGGAGCTGGTCGACCAGGGGATAGTGGTCGACCTGGGGAGGTCAACTGGAGGTGGCCGTCGACTTGGGAGGTCGACCGGCACGCTCCAGAGACAGTGGTCGACCTGGGAGGTCGACCGGAAGTGGTCGTCGACCTGGGTGGTCGACGGGCACGCACTGGAGCCTCTGGTCGACCTGGTTGCCCGGTCGACCAGGTTACCTGGGTGACGAGGTGCTGAGAAGGCTTGTGATGGTCGCCCTGTCAAACATTATATATGTTGTGTTTGTTTAGGCTACAGTGGGTTAGCCTATAGGGGGTACACAATTCTAGGGTTAGGTACTTGTACTGATTTCACTGTTAGTTCAATCATTCCTGTCCGTTCATTCTGACATGGTATCAGAGCAGGTCCTTCACTAGGACCGTTTTAGGGCCCACCGCTACCTACCTACCTACCTACCGTGCGCCCTCGTGCGCCCTCGCGCCCTCGTGCGCCTCTTACTACCGCGCGCCCTCGTGCGCCCTCGCGCCCTCGTGCGCCTCTTACTACCGCGCGCCCTCGTGCGCCCTCGCGCCCTCGTGCGCCTCTGTTAAACTCTATTATGCTTGTAGGCTGTAGTGGGGTAGCCAATATGGGGTACAACCCCAACTAGGGTTTCATATTTGTACCCAAACTCCTGCTAGTTCATTCATTCTTGCCTAGTTATCTTGAGATGGTATTCAGAGCAGGAGGTCCCTAGGACCTACCGACCGTTTTTTAGGGCCCACCACCGCTCGCATGCGGTTACCACGCTACCCCGTGCCCTAGCCTCGTTGCGCCCTCGTTAGCGCCCTCGCGCGCCCCTCGTTAGCGCCCTCGCGCGCACCCTCGTTAGCGCCCTCGCGCGCCCCTCGTTAGCGCCCTCGCGCGCCCCTTGCTAGCGCCCTCGCGCGCCCCTCACTAGCGCCCTCGCGCGCCCCTCGCAGTGTCGCCCGCCCGCCGAGCCGCCCGCTCGCAGCCCGCTCGTCCCGCTGCCCGCTTCGCAGCCCGCCCGCCCGCTAGCTGCCCGCTTCGCGGCCCGCCCGCTTCGCGGCCCGCTCGCTCGCTGCCCGCTTCGCGGCCCGCCCGCTTCGCAGCCCGCCCGCCCGCTCGCTGCCCGCTTCGCGGCCCGCCCGCTACGCAGCCCGCCCGCCCGCTCGCTGCCCGCTTCGCGGCCCGCTCGCTCGCTGCCCGCTTCGCGGCCCGCCCGCTTCGCAGCCCGCCCGCCCGCTCGCTGCCCGTTTCGCGGCCCGCCCGCTACGCAGCCCGCCCGCCCGCTCGCTGCCCGCTTCGCGGCCCGCCCGCTTCGCGGCCCGCCCACTTCGCAGCCCGCCCGCCCGCTCGCTGCCCGCTTCGCGGCCCGCCCGCTTCGCAGCCCGCTCGCCCCGCTGCCCGCTTCGCAGCCCGCCCGCCCGCTCGCTGCCCGCTTCGCGGCCCGCCCGCTTCACTGCTCGCTCGCAGCGCCGCCCGCCCGCCCGCTACCTGCTTCGCAGCGCCGCCCGCTGCCTCACTGCCCGCTTGCTGCGTCGCCCGCCCGCCCCGCTGCCCGCTTCGCAGCCCGCCCGCTGCGCTCCTCGCCTGCTGCTCCCTGCCTGTGCACCGCCGCTTGCTCCTGCTGTGGCTGCTAGCTTCGCTCTAGCGCGTCCCCTCTGCTGCTGCCGCTGCTCTGCTGTGCCCTCACGCCTGAGCTATGGCCTCTATTCGCGTTCTCTCCTTCGATGCTGAGGGCCGTCCCGTGCAGTTCACTTCCTGGCTCGACGACCTGCAGTTGTATCTTATGAGCAATAGCACGGACCACATCTCCCTCTATGACTACGCGTCTGGTGCTGCCGCTGCTCCTGCTGCCACAGCCGAGCTTAGTGTTCGTTCCCACTGGCAGACTCGTGACGCAGCTGCTCGCCTAGCCATTCGCAGTCACCTGCCGCTAGCTGAGCTCGAGCATTTTGGCGACTGCAAATCCGCTAAGGCCCTGTACGATGCTGTCGTTGCTCGCTACTCCTCGCCTGCCACAGCCGAGCTTAGCCGCCTCATGCTGCCGTACCTGTTCCCCGATCTGTCCACCTTTACTACAGTCGCCGATCTTATCACCCACCTTCGCACTAGTGATGCTCGCCTACGTGCCGCCCTTCCCACCGAGTTCTGCGCTAAGAACCCCCCTCCACTGTACTGGACACTCCACTTCATAGTCACCCGTCTCCCTGACACCCTCCGCTCAGTTCGAGACCACTTCCTTGCTCGCTGTCCCACTGAGCTCACAGTCGCCCTCCTAGAGGAGCAGCTGCTCGCGGCCGAAAAGAGCATTGTAGCTGTCGGTGCTGCTCGTGGCGCTCCTCGCACCCCCATCTTTGAGGGGTGTTCTCCCTCTCCCCTCGCTCCCTCCTACGCTGCTGCTGCTGCTGTTGACTTCCTTGGTGCTGAGTCTGTTGGCGCTGCTTCTGCTCCTGGTGGGAGGCGCCGCACCGGCAAGGGCAAGGGGGGCAAGGGTGGTGGTGGTGGCGCTGGGGGGGGAGGAGGTGGGGGAGGTGGGGGGGGAGGCGGTGCTGGAGGGAGCGGTGGCGGGAGCGCTGGTGGGAGTGGGGTCGGTGGTGGAGGCGGGGGCGGCGGAGGAAGCAGTGGCAGTAGTGGCGGCGGCGGCGGTGGCGGCGGCGGTGGCGGTGGCGGCGGCGGTGGCGGCGGTGGCGGTGGTGGCGGTGGTGGCGGTGGCGGTCGGAGCGGTGGTAGTGGTGGCGGCGGAGGTCGGAGTGGAGGCACTGGCTCGGGCCAGAGCTCCCAGCAGCAGCAGCGTCCCCAGACGACCCAGCAGCTTCGTGAGTGGCTTGCTCAGCGTGGGACGTCGGGGGGCAGTGGCCGCTGTTCCTATGTCATTCGCACAGGTGACCGCAAGGGACAGACGTGTGGGAGGTTCCACACCCCGTACCGCTGCTTCTCCCGCCTTGACGACGCTTGGCGTGAGGAGATGGGTGCGGATGTTGAGCGCCCCCGCTGGGCTGAGCTCATGAGGGCTGGTGTTGATGTCTTTGCTCTTGACTATGATGCTATTATTGCTGCCATGTATGCATTGACTGTTAGTGCCGAGGGAGACTGTTACTTGTGTGTGCCGCCTGACCCAGGTATAGAGCCCGCTGCCCTGGGTACTAGTGAGTCTGCTCTCTCTGGTATGGTGCCCCCTGTACTTGCTCCCTCCAGTGCTGTCCCGGCTGGTTTCGAGTCTGCTCTCTCAGGTACAGCACTCACAGAGACTGCTCTCTCAGGTACCGCACCGGCTGAGGCCTGTCACACCTTCACCCTTGACTCAGGTGCTTCCCGTTGCTTCTTTCGTGACAGTACTGAGCTCACACCGCTTCCTGCACCGGTCCCAGTCTCCTTGGCTGACCCCTCTGGGGGCCCAGTCCTTGCCCAGTCCACCACTGTCCTCCCTTGTCCGGCGGTTCCGTCTGGCTCGTTGTCGGGGTAAACGTAACCTGGTGAGCAACGCTGTCCTCCAGGATCAGTGGGTTGACACCTTTACCCCTGGAGGACAGCGTGTGGCGATCTGCACGTGCTCCAGGACCGGCCGTCACCTGGCTACGTTTACCCGTCGGCCGGGGTCGAGTCTCCTCAGGTCGCTGCTGTCGGTCAGGTGTCTGCGTCAGGTCTGGTAGCCCACGCCTGTGAGTGTCGTTCCCTGTCGCACCAGACTCTTCTCTGGCACCACCGCCTGGGTCACCCCTCCTTGCCACGCCTTCGTGGCATGCACCGTCGCCACCTTGTGTCTGGTCTTCCCAGGTCCCTCCCTCCCCTCCCTGCCTCGCCTGCGCCGCCTTGCCTTCCTTGCGTCGAGGGGCGGCAGCGCGCCGCTCCTCACTCCTCCTCGTTCCCCCCGACAGAGGCTCCTCTGCAGACCCTCCACCTGGACGTGTGGGGCCCAGCCCGCGTTCGTGGTCAGGGCGGTGAGCGGTATTTTTTGCTGGTTGTCGACGACTACTCGCGTTACACCACGGTCTTCCCCTTGCGCACCAAGGGTGAGGTCCCTGCTGTTCTGATCCCTTGGATCCGCACGGTTCGTCTCCAGCTCCGCCGCCGTTTCCGGACGGATCTTCCTGTCCTGCGTCTGCACTCTGACAGAGGTGGTGAGTTTTCCTCCGATCTCTTGAGGACCTTCTGTCAGGCGGAGGGCATCGAGCAGACCTTCACGCTTCCGGACTCCCCACAGCAGAATGGGGTTGCTGAGCGCCGCATTGGCCTGGTCATGGAGGTCGCTCGTACCTCCTTGGTCCACGCGGCGGCTCCCCATTTTCTGTGGCCGTTTGCTGTCCGGTACGCCGCGCATCAGCTCAACCTCTGGCCCCGTGTCTCCTTGCCGGAGACGTCGCCCACACTGCGTTGGACGGGGGAGGTTGGCGATGCGTCGCGCTTCCGGGTGTGGGGTGCTCGTGCCCTTGTCCGCGATACGTCCGCGGACAAGCTCTCCTCCCGCACGCTTCCCTGTGTCTTCCTTGGCTTTGTCCCTGACGCGCCTGGCTGGCAGTTTTACCACCCCACCTCGCGCCGGGTCTTCGCCTCTCAGGATGTCACCTTTGACGAGTCGGTCCCTTTTTACCGTCTCTTCCCCTACCGCACTGCCCCCCTCCCTCCCCCGCCACTTTTCCTTGCTCCTGGTCCCCCTCCGGTAGACCCCCTTCCCCCTCAGGGTCCTGCTCCTTCAGGTGTCTCTCAGGTAGACCCTCCTCCCGTCGCTGAGCCTGTCGAGGTCACAGGTGACTCAGGTGCTGCTGCGGGTGGTGCTGCTGGGAGTGCTGAGCCTGGGGGTGCTGAGCCTGGGGGTGCTGGGCCTGGGGGTGCTGGGGCTGCGGGTGCTGGGACTGAGGGTGCTGGAGCTGAGGGTACGGTGCCTGAGAGTACGGAGCCTGGGGGTGCTGAGCCTGGGGGTGCTGAGCCTGCGGGTGCGGGGCCTGGGAGTGCTGGGACTGCGGGTGCTGGAGCTGAGGGTACTGTGCCTGAGAGTTTGCCGCCTGGGGGTGCTGAGCCTGGGGGTGCTGAGCCTGCGGGTACTGAGCCTGCGGGTACTGAGCCTGGGGGTGCTGCTACTGAGCCTACGGAGCCTCGGGTTACTGCGTCTGGGGGTGCTCCGGTTCGGGGTGCTGAGCAGTCTCTCACACCGCAGCAGCTTCGTGACTGGTACGTCCGGCGCTTTCGCCGTCCTAGTGGCTCGGCTGGAGTTGGGGGTGCTGGGGCTGCTCGTCCTGGGGGTGCTCGTACTGGGGGTACTGGAGCTACCGGGACTGGTTGTTCTGGGAGCACTGCGACTGGAGCTGCTGGAGCTGGGGACTCTGGCGCTGGCGGTGCTAGCGGAGTTGGAGCTGCCGACTCTGGGGGTGGCGCTGCTGCTGGTGCTGCGGACCCGCCTGGTGGAGCTGCTACTGGAGCTGAGGACCCGAGCGGTGGCGCTGCTGCTGGTGCTGGGGACCCGGACGTTGGAGCTCCTGCTGGTCCTGAGGACCCGGCCGCTGGAGTCTCTTCTGCTTCTGGAGACGCTGCGCGGCCGCGACCGTACTTTGTACCGCTCCTTCAGCAGGTTCTTGGGCAGGCTCCTCCTCCTTGTCCTCCTCCCTCCGTAGAGTGTCCTCCGCCTGTCCAGCCGCAGTCACAGTTACCGCCTGCCTCGCCTCTCCCTGCTCCCTCTCCTTACGCTGGTCCCACAGGAGGTCTTACAGAGCGTCGTGAGCCTGAGTCTCGTCCTGCGTCGCCTGTTCGTCCTGCTCGCACTGGTAGTCGTGTCCGTCGTGAGCGTCCTCCTCCTGTCCCAGGCACTCACTACATGACTCTGCGTCCCTCTACTGCTCCTCGGCGTGTCCCTCTACCGTCTCCTCCTGCGTCCTCTTTGCCTGCCGTTCCGGACCCTGAGTCTGACCGGTATCGCGCTGAGCACCCTACAGTCACGCGTCTCCTAGCTACTGTTGTCACTGACCCTACCTTTGAGTCCTCGGCTGCGTCTGCTCTGGTCACTGAGTTGGTTGACTTTGCTGCTACCTGTCGTCTAGACTACGCTGCTAGCCTTGTTGCTGAGTCCGAGTCTGCGTCTGTCTGTCCTCCGTCCGTCGGGGGTGAGTGTGCTCTTGGCACGGACGTCCTTGAGGACAGGCAGGAGGACTTTGACTCTCTTGCGGCTGCTGTACCTCATCTCGTGGCCTGGTTGCTTGCCCCTGAGGGAGACCCGGATGCACTAGACATCCCCACTCCGCGCACTTACGCAGAGGCGATCTCGGGTCCCTACTCCTCTCAGTGGCAGACAGCCATGGACGCAGAGATGGCATCCTGGAAGTCCACAGGCACCTACGTCGACGAGGTTCCCCCTCCTGGGGCGAACATCGTCGATGGCATGTGGATTTTCAGGGTGAAGCGGCCGCCAGGTTCTCCGCCTGTCTTCAAGGCTCGTTACGTTGCTAGAGGCTTCAGTCAGCGTCAGGGGGTCGACTTCTTCCAGACCTTCTCCCCCACCCCGAAGATGACCACTCTTCGGGTTCTGCTGCACGTTGCTGCTCAGCGTGACTACGAGCTTCACTCTCTTGACTTCAGTACAGCGTTCCTGCAGGGCAGCCTGCACGAGGAGATCTGGCTGCGCCGCCCACCTGGCTTTACTGGGTCGTTTCCCCCTGGTACCCAGTGGAGTCTCCGCCGGCCAGTCTACGGTCTCCGCCAGGCGCCACGTGAGTGGCACGACACACTGAGGACTACACTTGCGGCTCTTGGGTTCGCGCCGTCTACTGCTGACCCGTCGCTGTTTCTGCGCACAGACACGTCGCTGCCGCCGTTCTACATCCTCGTGTACGTCGACGACCTGGTCTTTGCTACTGCTGACACTGAGGCACTCGCTCGTGTGAAGTCGGAGCTGCAGAAGAGACACACCTGCACTGACCTGGGTGAACTGCGTAGCTACCTTGGCTTGCAGATCACCCGGGACAGAGCTCGCCGCACCATCACCCTGACTCAGTCACACATGGTGCAGCAGGTCCTTCAGCGCTTCGGCTTCCAGTTCTCCTCACCACAGGCCACACCTCTGGCTACCAGCCACTCGCTCTCAGCTCCACCTTCGGACGAGTCCGTAGAGCCGAGTGGCCCGTACCCAGAGCTTGTAGGCTGCCTCATGTACCTGATGACTTGCACGCGACCTGACCTCGCGTACCCTCTTAGCATCCTTGCTCGTTACGTTGCGCCTGGGAGACACAGGCGAGAGCACTGGGAGGCTGCTAAGAGGGTGCTGCGTTACTTGTGCAGTACATCAGGCATGGGGCTGGTGCTTGGAGGACGCGACAGAGTTGTCCTCACTGGTCACTCGGACGCTTCTTGGGTGGACGACCTGGCTACGCAGCGGTCGTCACAGGGTTACACCTTCAGCCTTGGCTCTGGTTCTGTCTCGTGGCGGTCCACTCGCTCTTCCTCTGTTCTCGGCTCTAGTTGTGAGGCTGAGATCTACGCCACAGCCATGGCTGCACAGGAGTTACGCTGGCTCACCTACCTGCTGACTGACTTGGGAGAGCGGCCTAGTTCTCCTCCAGTTCTGTACGGTGACAACAAGGCGGCCCTTGCCTTGTGTCAGGAGCACAGACTGGAGCACAGGACGAAGCACATTGCTCTTCGCTACTTTCTTGCTCGAGAGCTTCAGCAGCGCGGTCAGCTTCGGCTTGTGTACGTGGACTCGAAGGCCAACACTGCTGATATCTTCACCAAGGCGCTCCCGCCTAGTGATCATCAGCGGCACTGTACTTCTTTAGGCCTTGTGTCCACGTTTCCTCACTTGCTCACTGCTTGACATTCTTTGTACTGTACTTTATATATATCTTGTTGCTTGCTTGCTAGGTTTTGATCACTGTGTTGCTTGTCTTGTACTATATCTAGCACTGCATGTGAACTGGCCTTGTGGCCTTTACTTGTGCTCGGAGTGTGGTGACGTTGTGATCCACCCTGGGCTTTGCTTTGCTTTGTTGGACTGGTCTTGTGACCCTTTGTTCTCCCCACTTTGCCTATGGGGGTGTGTTAAACTCTATTATGCTTGTAGGCTGTAGTGGGGTAGCCAATATGGGGTACAACCCCAACTAGGGTTTCATATTTGTACCCAAACTCCTGCTAGTTCATTCATTCTTGCCTAGTTATCTTGAGAGCCTCTCCCTACCGCGCGCCCTCGTGCGCCTCTCCCTACCGCGCACGCACGGCCTGCTAGCCACCCGCGCGCGGCCCGCTTTCCGCGGCGTCGTCGCCAGCCCGCGGCGTCGTCGCCTGCCCGCGGCGTCGTCGCCTGCCCGCGACGTCGTCGCCTGCCCGCGGCGTCGTCGCCTGCCCTCGTCGCGTCGACCTGCCCGCGGCGTCGCCACCTGCCCGCCGCGTCGCCCTGCCCGCGGCGTCGCCACCTGCCCGCCGCGTCGACCTGCCCGCGGCGTCGCCACCTGCCCGCCGCGTCGACCTGCCCGCGGCGTCGCCACCTGCCCGCCGCGTCGCCCTGCTCGCGGCGTCGCCACCTACCCGCCGCGTCGCCCTGCCCGCGGCGTCGCCACCTGCCCGCCGCGTCGCCCTGACCTAATCCGCCTCTCGCCCCTGGAGCAGCCGCCACTGCAGCAGCAGCCCCTGGAGCAGCCGCCACTGCAGCAGCAGCCCCTGGAGCCGCCCGCCACTGCAGTAGCAGCCCCTGGAGCCGCCCGCCACTGCAGCAGCCCCCCCTGGAGCAGCCCGCACCTGCAGCAGCCGCCCCTGGCCCCTGGAGCCGCCGCCACTGCAGCAGCCGCCCCTGGCACCTGGAGCAGCTGCCGTCGCGGCCCGGCCTCGCCCTGCAGCAGCTGCCGCGGAGCTCCCTGCTGCGGCCCGGCCCAGCCCTGCAGTTGTAGCGGCCCCGCTGTCGCCACCGTCTTGCGCCTGCCGCGCCGACCACTGGTGAGCATTGCCCAGCACTGCTACCGCTGCTACTGCTGCTACTGCCTTTTCTACTCCCACTGCCACAGCTCCTGCTGTTACTACTGTTGCTGCCGCTACTGCTACTACTGCTGCTCCTGGCGTGGCCAGATGCAGCTCCAGGGCCGTGCGCGTGAGTCCCTCACGCCCCAGCAGCTTCGTGCGCGTGAGTGGTACGCTAGTTGGGGCTGTCGGGGTGGCCGTAGTGGTGGTCGCTCTGGAGTGGGTCGGTCGGGAGCTTCTGGTAGTGGACAGGTGCAGCTGCCGTGCCCTCCTTCGCCCCAGCTGCTTCGTGCGCGTGCGTGGTACGCTAGTTGGGGCTGTCGGGGTGGCCGTCGTGGTCGTCGCTCTGGAGTGCGTTGTTCGGGAGCATCTGGTAGTGGACAGGTGCAGCAGCAGTGTCCTCTTACGCTCCAGCGGGCCCGAGAGTGGTACGCCAGTTTGGGCTGTCGGGGTGGCCGTAGTGGTAGTCGCTCTGGCGTGCGTTGTTCGGGAGCATCTGGTAGTGGACAGGTGCAGCAGCAGTGTCCTCTTACGCTCCAGCGGGCTCGTGAGTGGTACGCGAGTTTGGGCTCTCGGGGTGGTGGTCGTGGTAGTCACTCTGGAGTGCGTCGTTCGGGAGCTTCTGGGCGCGGACCGGTGCAGCTGCCGTGTAGTGTGAGTGAGGCTGCCGCTCTAGGTGCTAGTGAGACCGCCACTGCAGGTGCTCGCGTGTCTGCCACCTCAGGTGATGGTGAGGCTGCTGCTCTAGGTGCTAGTGCGTCCGTGCCCGCTGGTACTG